AGATCCGGAGGGAAACGTAAAGGTTTACGTTACGTAAAGACCCGCGCATGCGCAGATTCTATCCGGTATCCGGTAACACGGTAACGTAAAGAAGTGTACGTACAAGCTAAAACTCCCTATTATCTGTTGCCGCGCACTCGCAGGTACCGTGGAGTCCCGCGTTCCTCGATATGCGAGGTGCCCATGCATGTCGGGTTTTACAGGCCCGATCTTAACACACACTAAACAAGCAAGCAGGACGCGCGCGACAACGCGTAGCGTGAGTGACCGTCTTACCTGAATGTCTGTGTCAAGTTGTCAATTTTACTGTGAACTTGCGCCCGTGTACGGGGAATACCGGCGTCGGTGAGGCTCTCGGCAATCGCCTGGTACACTCCACCGTTGTGCTTTTGCCCTCGCAAGGCGTCCAAATGGTCCTCCCATAGCTTTATCAGCGCCCAGGTCTCCTTTTCAGTCCACTGGACGCGCGGTTTTTTCTTCACCGACTGAGCCGACTCCATTGTACAAAATACTACGTCCCCGACACAGCAACTGCCACTGATCTCCACCACTAGTGGAGACCAGTGGAGATCAGTGGCCACTGCCAACCCTAACATGATCGCGCTAGTGACGTAATGCAGGTGTTTGAGAGTATGGACAGACTATAGGTCTTCACTTTTCAACAAATCGCACTGCTGTTGATAATGAAAACATTTTCTCAACGCAAAAAAAATACTGACAGGGCACCGCAGTGTTGCGACACGTTTTCTTCTATTGATAAATTAGGTACACTGTATGCGAGAGTACTCCCTTCCTGCCAGAAAAGTAGATGCGGGATCTGCTTTTGCGAAAAGGATCTTTGCCGGAGAGGAGTTACTCCTTTGTCGTGTGTCACTGCGCCCGAACGCCTTTCCGAAAGATGTCCCCTTGTCTAAAGGACTTTAGGGTGCCCGTGTGTCAGGGGTATGATAATCGCCGGGGACTCAAATTTAAATCGATGCACAGAAGCCATCAAAGAGAGGGTAAGAGGTGACAAGAGGGCTTGCAGTAGGGGCGTTCCCAGGACGCAAGCTGGAAGCAGTCATAAAGCAAGCGAGCGCAAAGCTCAAAACGACAGCTGATAGACGAAACCTCGTGATAATTTCAGGCGGTTTAAACGATGTCCTAAATGAAGATGCAGCAGGACTAGCAGCCACACTGGCGAAAGGCGTCGATGACATGCGCGCCACTTCTCCTGAGGTGCAGGTAGTGATATGCACGATACCGGAGGTACCGGTGCGTGATAGCAACCTGCAAAGAGCGGTGGTCAACGCAAACCAAGAGATATGGCGGATGAGTCGAGAGAAAGGCTTTGAGGTGGTGGAAATAAACAGAGAGGTGCATAGGTGGGGGGGTTTTCAACGAGACAGAATTCACTTCGATGGGCGGCTAGGTCATGAGGTGGGTTGGCGACTTGCAGGACGCGCAGTAGCTTTTTTGGGGGGCAAGCGAGCCCTTCGGGGTGCAGGATAGCTAGTAACGAGGAAAACAACCAGGGAGACTCTTCGACAGGTGGTATGGACAGATACGATTCCAAAGTGGCACCAATATCTAAGATAGGTAGAGTGCGGGGCCTAAATAGACGTAGCCACGAGCGCCGAGCCAATTCAGACATAGGGTATATTAACATGCAGGGTGGTAGGAACAGGCTGAAGTGGGAAGAGATAGAAGAACAGCTAAGGGAAGAGAGGCCGATGGTATACGGTTTTGTAGAAACACATCTCAAGGACATGGAACAACCTCCGAACAATCCGGACTACGCGTGGGAATATTGTAATAGAACAGAAGGCAGCAGAAAGGGGGGTGGTATTGGGGCATTCATTCATAAAAGTACAGACTGGCAAAGGGTCAAGCAGGAGTGCAAGGAACATTTATGGCTAAAAGGGAAAGTGGCAGGTCAAATGACACTCCTTGGTTTCGTGTACTTGTTGACGGGAGCAAAGGCCAGAGAGGAAAACCAGGCAATGGTAGAGTGTATATCAAACGACATTCAGGAGTTAGGAAGAGAGTGCGAGATAATTATACTAGGAGACATGAATGCGCACATAGAAGATATAGATGGGTGTACCGACCCGACAGGCAAAATTATCATGGATATGTGTGAAAGGCTTGATTTGATCATTTGCAACAGTACCGAGAAGTGTGAAGGGCAAATAACATAGGAGGTAGGAAGGCTTCAGTCGACGATAGATTATGCACTGATGTCACCTAGGATGTATGATAAGCTCAGGGAAATGCACATAGATGAAGGTGGCTCCAGAAGTCTGGGTAGCGATCACAAACGTATCAAGCTAAGTTTTGGAAGAGCAGTGAAAGTGGGAAGGAGACAAGATGAGCAACTACAGGAAAATTTTATCCAGAAAGGCAAATTGAAATAGCCACTAAACAAATTGAGAAAGTAATCACGGAGGATAATAAGACAGTGTGGACATACACGAATCTAATTAGACTCTTTGAGCTAGAGCTTGCTAAGACGCGTGACAAGTCACCCCGGAAAAGAAGACACAAACCCAAAAGTTGGTGGGATGAGGAAGTTAAGAGAGCCATAGCAAAGCGTCAGGAAGCCTCTAGGGAACACAGACATGCTAAGCAGCGGGGTGAACCGACAGATGATGGTGAAAGAAAATGGGCAACCTTTCTAAGCTGTAGAAGGGATGCATCCCTTCTGATCAATGAAAAGATTAGAAGGAAGGGAGCTCAGTGACTGGCAGAAGTACATAAAAAAGATAGAAAGGCAGCTGCGAAATTTTGGAACCATCTAAACTCCCTAAGAAATGAGACGAGCCTAGAGCAGAGATTTATAACTACAGCCCAAGGTGCTAGGCTAGAAGGGGATGAAGCTATTGAATATATAAGAACAAAAGTGACAGAAAAATTTCAACAAAGAAGTACTTTATGCACCACAATAGACGAGGACGAATCAAGTGCTGCAATGGCTCCATTTTCACAACAAGAGTGGGAAAGGGCTGAGAAAAGGGTTCCTAGTAGTACATCAACAGGCCCAGATGGCATTCCAATTAGGCTGATAAAGACATTAGGTCCGAAGTCTAAGCAGGCTTTGAGAGAGGCAGTGAGCACAATAATAATCGATGGTGAAGTTCCCGATGGATGGAAACTTAGCAGGATGAGCATGATCTATAAAGGAAAGGGGGAGAAAGCTGACATAAGCAACTACCGTCCTATAACAGTGACATCAGTGGTCTACAGGCTGGCGATGCTGATTATAAAGGAAAGACTGCAGGCGTGGATAGAGGATGAGGGGGTGCTGGGGGAACTGCAGAATGGGTTTCGGAAACACAGGAGGTTGGAAGACAATCTGTTCTCACTGACGCAGTGCATCGAAATTGCAGAAAAAGAACACAGGCCCCTGTGGCTAGCATTTTTGGATATCAAGGGAGCGTACGATAGCGTGGTTCAAGAGGAATTGTGGGGAATACTGGACACACTAGGCGTGGAACATGTAGTCACTAATCTTTTAAAGGGTGTCTATAAAGGTAACAAGGTAGTTATAAAGTGGGAAAAACAGGTATCCAAGCCTGCAGAGGTAAAACGGGGGCTTAGGCAGGGGTGCCCCCTGTCACCCTTATTATTCATGATGTACGCACAAGGATTAGAGGCAAAATTAGAGGGAAGTGGACTGGGCTTCAACCTCTCTTTAGTCAAACAAGGAAAACTTATTGATCAGGCACTACCAGCATTAATGTACGCAGATGATATAATGCTAATGGCCAACAACAAGGAAGATTTGCAGAGATTGATGGACATCTGCGGTAATGAGGGAGATAGGTTAGATTTTAGATTCAGAAGGGAAAAATCAGCAGTCATGATTTTCAATGACAACGAAAGCAGTGAGCTTAGAATACAGGAGGTCACGCTAGAGATAACAGATAAATACAAATATCTGGGCGTATGGATAAGCAATGGCACCGAGTATCTGAGGGAACACGAAATATACGTGACGACTAAAGGTAACAGGAATGCAGCAGTCATGAAAAATAGGGCACTGTGGAATTACAATAGGTATGATGTTGTGAGTGGAATATGGAAAGGGGTCATGGTTCCTGGGCTGACGTTCGGCAATGTGGTCTTGTGCATGAGATCAGAAGTTCAAGCAAGATTAGAAATTAAGCAACGTGGAATAGGTAGGCTTGCGTTAGGAGCTCACGGGAATACTCCAAATCAGTGAGTACAAGGTGATATGGGATGGACATCATTTGAGGGCAGGGAAGCTAGCAGCAAGATACAATTTGAGAAGCGATTGAGAGAAATCGAGGAAGAGCGTTGAGCTAGGAAGGTTTTCAGCTACTTGTACATGAAGAATGTCGATACAAAATGGAGGAAGCGAACCAGGAAGTTGACTGGTAAATACTTAGAAAACAGCAGGTGGCCAAACCAAAAAGAACTATCGGTTAAGAAGAAAGTGAAGGAAACGGAGACGGACATGTGGAGAATGGGCATGATTAAGAAGTCCGCACTAGAGATCTATCGAACTTTCAAGCAGGAAATTGCCAAGGAAAGGATCTATGATAATACTCGGGGTAGTTCTCTACTGTTTGAGGCCAGGACGGGAGTACTACGAACCAAGACATATCGGGCCAAATACGAAGGGGTAGACACAGTATGCAGTGCGTGTGGAGAGGAAGAAGAAACTGCCGAACACTTGATAATGTTCTGTAAAGGGCTTCACCCTATAGTTCAGGATGATGGCGCAGAGTTTTTCAAAGCACTGGGGTTTAGGGACCGGGAGGGCAAAATAAACTTTAAGCGGGTAGACTTAACTAGAAGGAGGTTATCTGATTGGTGGCTAAAGTCAAAGCACGAGTGAAAATGAAACTCTTCACTGCAAAGTACGAATCCTCAAACTCACTTTTTAAGGAAAAAAAAAAAATATATATAGTTTTTGATTCATTAGGTATTACGGCTTGGTGGCGCTAGCCACCGCCCAATCTAAAGGGTACAGCCCTCTAGCCACCATAGCCATATTCATCCATCCATCCACAGAGGACGCGCACAGAGCATGGAGTTAGCGTGATCCAATAGCGTTTTTAGCTACGCATTAAGTGTAAAAACAATCGACCACTTCGTATCAGTGTAATAAATATCCGTAAATCAATTATGCTCAAATACATGCCTTTAGCACGTGCGCTGGGCACCACAAACCTGCTACGCGCTGGGCCAGGGACATTTCAAGTGCAGACTACGATTCTTCCAGGTAAATTGACTTTTAGCGTTCTTGTACTACACTGTAGCTTTCGTGAGCTCGTTTTGTCAGAGTCTTTTTTTATGTTTGCCACGTTCGTGCAAAACTGGAGTCCTTTGCTGTTATCGAAATCCTGCCATCAAGCGATTGGGCTTTCGCACGACCCTTCGAGCTGAATGTATTGAGTTTTTCCATTCGTTCTGTGTTTATTTGTTCTGAATAATCCCTGCTTCACTCGTTTGATTTGCTTCTCTAATATGGTTTCGCATAAGCTTATTCTTGTTCATTGTGGAGCTCATGGTTCACGTTTAAACTTTTCTGCGCCTACATGCGCAATAACTATGTAGAGCAAGCTCGAACTTCGCACAGAAGAATTACAAAAAAAAAAAAAAGAAAGAGATTATTTAAGTACTTGTTACTGTCATACTATGCCCTATCCATCACAAGATTTACGTTCATGTCAGGCACATCTGATGTCTGTTGCCGTTTCTTTTCGAACTAGCACTAAAAGGCCGCCTCAGCACCACATCTTCCAGCAAAGCGACGAAAGACCAAGAAACGGCGGCAGATATCGACATGGTACGTTGCTTACGTGGCCTGTTTTTCTTAAGGAAAATTCAGTTCGCAATGTTTCTCCCAAATAGCCAGATTTCAACATGGAAAACCCATTTAAAAAGGAGCCCCGACAGTGCATTCTCTGCAAGCACAGCGTACAAGTTGATTACAAGGTGAGAAAGCAGTTTTGCAGTGATCACTACTCTGACTTGAAGAACGTGGTATTTCCGTTGTCTACCTGCCTGCAAGGCTCTTCATATTTGACACTTTTGCAGTATGGCATGGTAGCTTCATGTACACTCTCTGCATGACTACAAAAAATCTTGAACTGTGTTTTTTTATGATTACTAATGTTGTTTCTGTTAGTAAACAGTGTGCTAGTGCTCATTTCATAGCATGATTAACTATACAGGACACAAAGTAATGCGTTGTTTCAAGCTTCGATATTTACAGTACAAGACGACACCACAGAAAAGAAGGCACTAACACTGACAGCGCTGTCGTCATCTTGTGTGCCATCCTTTTTGCGGTGTCATCTTGCGATATAAATATGGAAGTATATAGGGCAGTTTGCATTGTTGCTGTGCAACCAATGGTATTTCTTATATTTATTATTTACCATTAATCTTAGTTGAATATGAAACAGCAAGGTATTGAATAAATGCAATGAAAATGTTGAAGCATAAAACTTCTACGAGTGAAGTCAAGTATACTTTTACACAATTACTATTTCATGCTTGATGTTTGTGCCTATGCCGTAGAGTTTCATACAACAATACCTAGAGCGGAATCTGGCGCTGCGATGGTGTACCCCCATGGGGATTATGGGAAGTATAGGCTTCATATTGAATTGATTTAGCTAGCAAACTATCTACGGATCTTTTTCAACAGTTTCAGTTTCGTTTTTCCGCAGCATGGTTAGTTGGGTGCGGTGCAAAGCACTGAAGCAACGCTTTTATTGTTCAAAGAGGCTGAAGACCACTATGTCTGAGATTTGCTGCCGCTTCAGAGCTTTACGAGTTGTAGTTGGCAGTTTGAGCGAAGCGTCGTCCACTAACCACTGCGCATAGATGTAGCGTATCATGCCAGTGCAGAATATTACATCTGAGTTCACGTCTTTTCGTAAGCACATCTTGCCGAAACTCATTTGAATCAACCGCATAACGACAGCGAAACTAAGTAGATGCACCGTCGCACTCCTCTGACTCGACTTCACAACAAAGTGGGAGGTGCGTTGGTGGCAGACCACTTGGACAGACGCACCAGGCATCGCAGCAAATGCAACGTTAAGTGTTTCTCACATAAAACTGTACTGTTATTTCCAAAATAGATAATGCGTACTTTCGAGGGCAAAACAATAATGTTTGTTTTCAAATGTTGCAAAAAATAATTCATTATGTCTTGCTGCCAAATCTGGAATGCAGCGACAGAGCAATGCATACCCTGGTGGTTATATTTGTTGAGTTTTCACTTCTGCATAACCACAAAAACGTTTTGCAATAAAATTTACCTATAAAAGAATGAAGCAAGTTTAATTTAAATATAACTTCATATCACTTCGTTTTACACTCTGCAAACAAACGTCGCAAATCTCAAGAATGCAATCTCTCCTCCGAAACAGATTCGAAGCCTATGCTTCCCATTATTCGCATCGGAGTACACGCGCCGCTGAAGGAGCCTGCGTAGACACTAAAGCCAAATTCTCCTCTAGGTATTATTGTATGAATTTTTATGGAATATGCCCATAGTAATAATTCCAAAAACCTGTTCCTCAGAAGCTAGATGAGATAACAGGCTGAACGACTTGCAAATGAGTAGGCACGTCACACAGGCATGAGTGGGCACTTACTTTTGAAAGTGTACATTTGGATGAAATACCTCAGTTACAAATACCATTAATCTTTGCAACAGCTCTTAATGGTCACAGGAACTTTTGCACTTTTTGCTTTTGTACCTTTCTTTTGTGCATACTTCATTTACTTTGCCCATGTTCAGTACCTGCTGCGTGCTCTTCGTATTCATTTAGCAGTGTGTGGCTGCATGGCACATTCTCTTGCCATCCCATTTTATTGATGACTAAACAGCATAAGATCTCTGCTTTGACGAAGTGCTCTTGTTTGATGCATGTGGAGCTCCATTGCTACAAATTGCAGTCACTTATCCTTGGGCATTAGTGGGCTTACAAGCCACTTTGATGCCAAATGTTCATGAGTATGCATTATTAACGTGAGAGCATCACTTCACTCATTGTGTGACCCCACTTTCATCAGAAAGACTTGAAAGTAAAAACAGCACATACATTCCCCAGCTTCATTTTACTTAAAGATAATTGGCCTCAATGAAGACTCAATTTTCTGTCCCTGCTACTGCTCTGTTGTTGAGTCTGTTAACTGCAGTGCCACCATGGCAACAGGTGATGGTGATGAATACCTTTGAAACTGTGGAAGCAGTTCAGCTCTGTCTGGTGTGCGATTCACTAGATAGGAGATGATACAAATAGCTACTGTGTTGATGCTGAGGAATCTTGGATGGTAGATGATACAAATAGCTACTTTGTTGATGCTATGGAGTCTTTGTTGTCTGAAGCTGAATTGCTCTAGTCTACATTATCAAAATAAAGGAGTTAAGTGTGGCCATTGCTATGACACTGGAGCACCGAACTTGGTGACAAGTGATGCTTTTATATATTACGAGTTTCTTTGGTGGTTCCATAGTTTTTTGTTATCTCATATCAATGAACTAGTTTTAAACTGTGTTTACTCACTCTCTGCACTGACGTGCTCATAAGCAAGTCAGCCAGCATGCTTTGGCAATCTTATTTAAAAGCAGGACTGATAGTTGGGCTAGTTTGTGATACATTATGGGCAGTAACAGTGTACAAACTCACAGGATGAAAAGAAGAGACACAAACAAGCTCTGACTCTAAACTGAAGAATTCATTGAAATATACAAATTATTTGTACACATAAGATAAAAACACACAGAACGTGCACAGAGGGGCCGGCAAAGGACTGTGTCGACGTCATTAATAATTTTACGCTACGGGTATCTGCACAGGCGCGACATATTCCATTCACACAAACATGCTACTGATTAGGATTTCTTCTTTTTCATGTAAAGATATTGATGTCTGACTAACGCAGGACTCCTTCTTTTTTGATATAGAAGGCTTCCACTAGTTCTCTTGTGATCTGATCTCTATGTTTGAAGAGCACTGTCGTTTCATTGAACAAGGGCCTGCACCCACACGTGTGGCAGTGGGAAAGCAAATTTGCGTACGTGCTGGTCTTGAGGGTTCCGGAGTGTTCTTTTAGTCGTACGTAGAGACAACGCCCTGTTTGCCCAATATAAACCCTTCCGCATGTTAAGGTAATTCTGTACACCACCCCTAGTACACAAAGTAGTGAGGCGTCCCTGTGTTTTACACTGCATTTATTTTGGCTAGAGCTCTTTTATCAAATTAGGAAAATTGTGCCCTATGGTGAACAAAAAGCATGATAAAAAGAGCAATAGCCAAAATAAGTGCGGTGTAAAACACAGGGACGCCTCACTACTCTGTGTACTAGGGGTGGGTGTACAGAATTACCTTAACATGCGGAAGGGTTTATATTGAGCAAACAGGGCGTTGTCTCTATGTACGACTAAAAGAACACTCCGAAACCCTCAAGACCAGCACGTACGCGAATTTGCCTTCGCACTGCCACACGTGTGGGCATTGAAACGACAGTGCTTTTCAAACATGGTGATCAGATCACAAGAGAGCTAGTGGAAGCATTCTATATCAAAACAGAAGAAAAGTGCTGCATTAGTCAGACACCAATATCTTTACATGAAAAAGAAGAAATCCTAATCAGTAGCATGTTTGTTTGAATGGAATATGTCGTGCGTGCACACTTAACCGTAGCGTAAAATTATTAATGACGTCGACACAGTCCTTCGCCGACCCCTCTGCGCATGTTCTGTGCGTTTTTATTTTATGTGTTCAGATAATTTATATATTTCAATAAATTCTTCAGTTGAGAGTCAGCGCTTGTTTGTGTCTCTTCTTTTCGTCCCGTGAGTTTTTTCGCTGTTACTGCCCATAATTCATTTAAAACATGGTGTTGCTGTTTTTACTATTAATTGTCTATACTTATTAGTGTACTATCTCATAGTTGACTATTCGAAAACTTGACGGTTCGTGGCATGAGGGCAGACAGTCTTCCACGTAGGTATGCTTTTATGGTTATTTTTTAAATACTTGAGAGTCGGTGCGTAAGTGATGAAATAAAGCTTTTTTTTTGTCTGTGGTTTGCTTTACAGAAATATGTTTTTATATAATTAATTCACGGTTGTACTTTTATATTTATTATTCAGCACAGAGACAAAAGAGCATGAGTACTAAGCATTCTTGCATTTTGAAATCTGGTAGCCATCTGCCAGAGCCTTGTATTAGCCCTCAGAAGTTAGGGTGGCACCGCCTGGTGGGAAGCCTGAATTACATTAACGGCAGGAACTCATCGACACGCGTTGTGGTGTCTGCATATCATGCACTCGCTTTGTACGCTGTATTATTGTTTCTGATCTCTTTTCGCCTGTCACAAGCTTCAGATGAATGACAAAAACAGCATCGATAATGTTTCTAGTAAAGTGTAAAAAAAGCTACCCATTTTTTCTGTGCAATTGCAAACAGTGCCCGCACTTCGTCGTTAACACTTTGATCAGGTTTGTTGCGTCGTGCTGCTAACCTCGAGGATGAGTTTGATTTTTTACCACAGCAGCGACATTCTGATGGGGTTAAACAGCAAGAGCATGTTTGTGCTTAGATACAGGTAGTCAAAATTATTCTATAGTGTCCTGTAATCAAGTCATGGTTTTCACATGGAAGATTCCATATTTACATTATTACCTTGCTTTATTAATGGGCAGCTCCTTTTAGAGAAGTGATGGTTTTACCTCTACTCATGATATTTGCATGGAACACATGTACGTATCTGCAGAGCGTGTTGTTGCCAGGGTGCGAATTCCCGCGTACACTTACAAAGATTCATGATGCACCGAGGCTCCCAAAACATCTTGAGAAAGCTTGCCCAAGAACACTCATGCAGTTGTTGAGTTTGTTTTTCTTGTGTGCTCACTCACTCATCATTTTGCTTAGTTTCACGTTTTCCTCACAATAATTTCGGGGCTTCATTAAAAAAGTGGCAGTTAATTGAGGAAATTTATTGCTCTCAGATTGTGTTTTCATCCAGCATCTTAGCAACGGTGCTGTCAAACTAATAAGTACTACTTTAGATAACCAGCTCATAAATGCATCTTCTTAGCATTTGATCAACCAGCATGTGTACATGACGTGTGAAACCAGTCTCAATGAGGCCAATGATGCGTAATTATTACATGAGCCACATCTCTGAGTGTGCTACAAAACAGTTCAGGACGTTCAATTTAACTTTCAGGTGTTCGTTTTGCAAACAATTGTTGCAGCTCAACTCCCGTGTGAATTTAAAAAAATTGCCCGCAGCTTCCCTCGGGGGAACACTGAGGAGGATGCGGACCATATAATTGGTTAACGGGGTGTTAAAGTGCGACTTACTTGGGTCGATGGCTAAATTGGTTAACGTGGTTGTGAAATGGGGTGTTAAATTGCGACTTACTTGGGTCGATGGCTAAATTGGTTAACGTCGTTGTAGGAGGGGTGTTAAATGAGTGAACACGTACACACGTATGCGAAAGGGCGGCGCTGGCCGAAGGGACGTCGATCATTGTGTTTGTGGATTCGTTGGAATTCATTTCACCGCGACCTTGGACGTCGACGCGCCGTACAAACCAACCGACGAGCGGCAACTGAGCGAGCGAGCGCCGACCTTGAGTATATATACAGCACGACGGCGCATGCACTGTCAGCTGTTGAATGTTCTCGAAGCGCGACGCCACATGCGCGTCCACTGGAGAATCAGGAGAATTGTAGATGTCGAACGCGGTGTGTAGAGGAGGAAGGGTGCACAGATGGTGGAGGAGTGAAGCGCGCGCGGTGTGTAGAGGAGGAAGGGATGCACAGATGGTGGAAGAGTGGGCGACGGCGCGACGGCGCATGCGCGCGCGTCAGCTGTCGAATGTTCGGGAAGCGGTGCGGACGGCGCACTACAAGGCGCGAGTATAAGATGCTTCCGCATCTAACATTACCGATTGTGACGCAGTGGTTGCTCGGACCAGCAGTTCATGCAAATCAAGGTACACAGCCACATAATACCAGGTTGGCCCCGCCGCGGTGGTCTAGTGGCTAAGGTACTCGGCTGCTGACCCGCAGGTCGCGGGATGAAGTCCCGGCTGCGGCCGCTGCATTTTTGATGGAGGTGAAATGTCGTAGGCCCGTGTGCTCAGATTTAAGCGCATGTTAAAGAACCCCAGGTGGTAGAAATTTCCGGAGCCCTCCACTACGGCGTCTCTCATAGTTATATGATGGTTTCGGGGTGTTCCTACATATCATCAATCAACATAATATCAGGTCACTGTTGAGAAGAAATCTTTACATAATCCAAGTATAATATCTACTTATTTGCAAAAATGTTTTGTGTGTGGCAGTATTACTTGGTTTGATGATTCAAATATATTAAGTGATTCTTAATGATCGATCTGTAGCTGAAAGTGCAGCTTCGTCAAATCATTAGGATAATCTGCAGGGGCAGACTTAACTTATATGGCAAACCATAAAGTAGCTCGTGAATCGAAAATGACCTAATTTCATTTATAAGTATTCAGGACACATGTTTTAACTACAGAGTGTACATCAAGTTGTGATGAAGGTTGAAACATAAGTGTAAAGCACTGATTTCTTGTAGTAAGCAGTGAAAGTAATGAATGTCTTGCTGTTCTGCATCACCAGTTTCACAGGGATTCTTCTGTTTGGACGTGAGTTTCTGCTGCTTGCTTAATTATCGCTAGCAGTGGAAACGCCCCCATTCTACCTTGGCAGATTCGCATCACCATCACTGTAGTCGCTACTGCATTGCAAAAGAACGGGGGGCGCAGAAAGAGGCAATATTTGGCTGCGGGGCAAACGAGTTCTTGCCGTGACGTTATATCACCGCGACTGTTATGCCACCATAATTCATTCTTGGGCCTAATAGCTGCCTTATTTTCAAGTAATTATTGAAAGATTGCACTATAGCAGTCGATTGTTTATGGATCTCTTGCCGCAAATATTTGTTGGGCCCATCAAGTATAAAAGAAGTTACTAGGCTTTGTCACCCGCTGAAAGTGCCTTTTATCCTTTCCACTTTTGACATTCCTAGGAGTGTCCTGTAAGCCACACAAGAAGGGGGCGGGTGGCGGAGAGATGACAAGGGGGCAAAAAGCTACATCAGCTTGTATCATGGCCGAGGGAGTTTCAGAGTGCTGGCACATTGCAGCCATGCTAACTATGTGGCGAAAGAAGCATGATTGTTGTGTAAAAGTCTGGCTGAAGTTCATGAAAACCTGGTGCGCAACAGCTTTTTCTTAGTACAGTGAATTCACAGATTGTTTCCAGTTTTGTCATTGAGGTACTGACGTCTTGTGGTGGCTGCTATGTTGGTCAAACGGGTTGCTGCGTCATTGATCAACTCTGAGAGCACAAGAACATTCTCAAGGACAAAACTGGAAGCTATCTGGCGATTCACTGTGACGAGTGTGGATGCAGTCTGAATTTTAAACAGATGTGCATTTTAGGCAGATATCACGATTTCTGCACCTGGGAAATTTATGAAGCGTTCAGTATTCATTCCATTGGGCTATCATGTACGAGCGTACTGTCCATTGTACTATCTGAGAAGGAGATAAATTATATTCATAACAGAACTTTGCAGTCTCATCTACTAGTTGTCACGCATGCACAGTGCCTCCCTTTACTTCATTTGTCTCATTTCCCCCTTTCCCAGGCGTATATATGTGTTCACACAAAATAAACACTCTTGTTAGCCAGCGCTCTGTACTGTGGTCTTTCTTCTTCTCTCGTATACCTGACCTTTTTTTTTTTTTTTACTAATAAAGTCTACAAGCTTGCTCTAGTTCACAAGTCAGCTACAGATGTGTGGCCATATGTGAACGAAAAAACAGCTTCTTGAACACTGTAGGAGCTCTCTTATTTCATAGTGAGGTTGTATATGGTCTAGTTTGCAGTGCCATCATCATCATAATTTCTTGACCACCACGCCGCGCCTCTTGCGCAGCTGATACTAGCTCGAGCTGCGCGAGAGCAGACTCTGTTCACGCACATCGGACGCTGGCAGCCGCTTCCGCTCTGCTTCAGCCCCACAAATAAAGTGGTGAGATCGGCACGGCCTCGTCGGCCGCCTTCACGTCTTCGTCTCACATCTCTACTCTAGCTGCAGGTTCTGGTGGATCATGTCCGCGGACAGAATGATGCGTAGAATAATTTTAGGCAGCAGATAGATATTATACGGTTATGTTGCCCCTCGAGCACAAGGGGCAGGTGGCTATTTGGGACGAGAACGCACCTGGCTTAATGGTTTTGGTGTAGCTCCTCAGCAAGTCATGTGCGTGTAATTCGTGCAGGGGTCATTCTTGCTCAAACATAGTGCTCATTGTGTGACTGTGGTGCACCTGAGGAATGAGAGATGCCGAGCACAGTGAAGAATAATGTGCCCAAGGTGCCCGTTGGCGGGTGCCAATACGAGTTTCTCGAGATACTTTTTTTTTGTCGTGTGTGTGTGTGTGTGCTGTGGGGGCACTTGAAATGACAGTGCAGTGCTTTTTGTATTTGATGGTGTGAAACTTGCGGTGATAGTAGTGCTGTGCTCTATCCCACTACTTATAGAGTGCAATGGCTCCCAATTTTTTGTAAATGGCTCCCAAACAGTAGCCTGTTGCTAAGATAATTTGTATGTATACTTTGTATGTTTATATAATTAATTTTATATAGTTAATATGAAATGGTGTATAGGTAGTCTATTAAAAAACAACTTTTTTTTTGGCTTTTTTTGTGTGTGGAGTTTCTGTAATTGGACTGTGGACCTTGTACTTGTGATGGCTCATGGTATGCCTCAATGCCAAAAGTGTCCATATATATGGCAGATCATGAATTTTCTTGCTGGCATGCAACACACAAATCATTGCAGCATCATTCTTGCAGAATGTTAAGCTTCTGAGCCAGTTTGTGTCACCATATACGGGAAAAATTTATGAGAAACACATTACTGGACTGTGCCAAAAACAGCAAGAAAGTGTCAGGAGAGAAATCATGAAAGCAAAAAAATGTGGTAAGTGTTTCTCTTTTTCATTCATCTAGACAATACAGTGCTTGGTTTTATAGTTTCATTATTTTATTTGCAGGTATGATGCCTCACTACCTAAAAATGCCAAAGTTTTTAAAGGATCCAAAACTGTTTGATGCATTCAAGCCTAGTAGACCTAATCCACACTGACCTCAAGCTCCGGCAGAAGAACTGAGGTGCAAAATGGAAGTAATAATAAAAGTACAATTTACTGTACAATTTATTTTCAGACTTGACTAGTTGATTTCAAGAAAGCTTACAAAGATGTCATCGTTTTAATGACTACAAAATATTTCCTTCCGAATTGTAAAGAAGATAACCAGCTTGGAGTGCACAGAAGAATTCCGGTTATACAAAACAGTCATCATCTTCACTGTAGCCAATAACAGAGGCTTCAATTTGAAAGTTGGCAAGAATGTCTTTCAGGCCAGGCCTTGGTTCAGCCATGTGCTGTTGAAAGTCCAAAATCGCTTGCTGTGCTGCTGAGCGCCACTGTTCAATCAGCTCAGTGATAGGCTCCTCCTGGTTCTGCAAAAGGAAAGAGATCATTTCGTGACTCTCTCCTCATTTGCAAGATAAAAAATTGCAAAGTCGAGGATTCTGTACATTATGTCTAGGTGTATGCACACTCTTCAAGAACTCCAATAAAGGTGCTTGACATACCCAGTGATGTGATAGACCAAATCCATTTTGGTGCAGTTTCTGGAGCAATTAAAATCTTACTTTGAAGCAGCATATTCACAACCATTCATTCAGAGGAGTTATTTGCCACACATGTTTGGCTCTTTGCTTTTCTGCAGACATCCTAAAGCCAGATCAAGCTACCTAACAGTTGCCAGGGATTCACTTGGTATTTGTAGATGACTCTGGCTTGTCCTGATGCTTTAGTTGCAATATGGAAGCACAGTCTATCTGAACATTCAAGCATCTATTTACTAAAATAAAAGTCTGATTTACGTTAATTCTTTCAGTACAACCTAGTCCTTCATTGTGTGGGGATGTCTGCTGTCATGCTTTATGTACAGAATTGGGGTCCTGGTTTATGAGGGGCCACTAAGGATCAAGATTTAGTAGCTTGTCCTCTCTCCCAGTTATGTAATGTGTGCTCAAGTAAATTTAGGGTGGCGGGGGAGTGCGTATTTACATTTCACAAGTACAGTTGCCGAGGTCGATAAGCCCAGCCAAGACATACCAGAATACTGCGACACTACAACTGCCCAGTGAAGTGACAGTCACTGTACAGCACGTGGTATAGTTGGTAAAATCCGCACATTGTATGGCCTTAAATCTTGGGCACCCTGCTTGAAATATTTTAGAAATAAACTAGAACAAACAGCACTACAAAGAGTCGGCCAGTTTTGCATATATGATCTGAATTACTGTAATCAATACAGGGAGTCGAGCAAAACTGCCATCAAAAAAAAAAAAAAAACTAGGCCATTATTACTTTTTTGTGGCTGAGAGAGAGAAAAAAACTTTATGATATCTATATACAGGGAGTTTGTGGGTGGTGGCCCGGTGCGAGCCACCCCTCCCAAACACTAGGTGGGCTCCTCATTGCAGAAGCCCATTGGCGTCCAATGCGACTCGGGCTCTGTTGACCAGGGCCTTCTGGCTCGCCAGTTCGGAACAGCCGTGCAGGGCCGCATCCCAATTTATCAGGGTAGGGTTTGGTTTTGGGTTGAGGCGAGGGGTCGACCAGCATGCCCACACCATGTGGAAGATGTCCAAAGACTTCTCCTATCCACAGCAAATGGAAACTATTTTATTGAACTAATGTTTTTCACAGTATGGTCAAGCTGTAATAAAAAACTAATGCAGCAAGTATCGCAACAGGGGCGAGTAGTTGTAATCTAGCACAGTAATTTCGCAATATGGGCGAGCCGAAATTGTTTGAACGGCTTGCGGCTAGCAAGTGTGTCAACTACATAGCACATTATTGCCTGGTGCGACGTCCACTCTGTAGTAGAAATCGCACCAGGCGACGTGCAACACAGCGAGTAGTGGCCTATGTAACCAGTGGTAACCTATGTAACTAGTGGTAACCTATGGCTTTCGAGCGCCTGCCGTATGTTTCTCACCGAAAGAACGAAGTCGTGGGGGTATGTTTGGCGCAAATACTCATGTTTTTGCCAAAAAGTAGTGGAACGTAGAAAGTTGTCACAGTTATGGCGCAGCTATCACATTATGTCACTGCATACCTTTTTCCTGTGCGATTTTACAATGTTCAGCTGCCGCAAGATGTCCTCCTTCCGGGATACTTCTCGCTGTGCATTTGAGATAGCCTTCTGAAGCAGAGATGGGTCATTCTCCTGCGATGAAAGAAAATGTTTATGGGCATTTACGTGCTCCACTTATTGGATGCAATCCTACAGATCCAAAATTTTCCTATATTATTATCGCATTGAACAAATGCGATTACAGCAACCTGCCTCAGAAACAGCATAACGCGTTGAACACTTGGAGGACTGTCATTCGGTACGGCTACGAAAAGTTTAATTTTTACCGGCGTATCCTTGCATCGGGGCGAGTTTTCTTCCGGCGTCGGGCTCTCCATACCTCACTGTCTGCACGTATTATTTGCACCTGTTGTTCGGTGCCACATAACTAGCAAAAATACTTTCACTGCTCGCTGTGATAACGCTGTACACACGGAGGCATTACGAACGTTTATGCTACCCGCCTAGCGCATTGTTTGTGATCGAGCGATGAACCACAGGATGAACTCAATGTGATGAACGGCAGACAAACGGTAACAACGGTTGACGGCGGTACACTTTATCGTCGCTAAACACGCGTTACCATGTTGACGTATGTTGACGTAAAAGCAAAATGACCTTCAATGGAATTTTTTTTTTCTACATCAAAATTTATGCTTCAAAACAAGTCGAAACCGAAAACAGCGCGCGGATAAAAACGAATAGAATATTGCACCAAATTACGTTGTAAGAAATACTGAACAACATTTTTTGCATATTTTCAGCCAAATCAATAAATTGCATTTTGAAATCGACAAAACAAATTTTCGTTTTAAAGCATAAACTACGGGAATATAATGAATTTCAGTTTTTCACCAACCTTTCACCAGCAGGCTCGGATCTTGCCGGCGGCATGTTATCTTTTCGTGAATTTTTCGTTCTTGACATTTGCATTGCAACTAATTGAAATAGCAACCCTTAAAAGTTTCGTGGCAATATTGTTTTTTTTTATTTCTGATTAATGTTGCGTTTAATGAAGAAAACAAGGACGCCTTATGGGGTGCCGTGTCCATGTTAGTCATCCATTGAAATGCAAAAAAAATACTTAGTTACTTGTAGTATAATTGTTTACGGCGTAATTGACATGTCTACATATTATTATTAAGCGCTGTGTTGGCCGAAACATCGGCACGAGAGCTGAATCTGACATCTGAAAACAAGTGCTGATATTAACTCTGACCATAGAGTTGGAATTCTCACTAGCGCCACTATACTTGTAGCTGACTTCCCTAGCGGCAACAGGCATGAACTGAAGCCTTGACAAAGGCGGGAAAGTTGTGGCGTAGTAGCGGGCGCGTGCGAGTTTGTGTGTTCGAATTTTCCTAACGGTCCGTTCGTTATTTTGAGTCGCTTAAATAGATAGTGAACTTCGTTCGTTTGGTTCCTTTGTGTGTTTCGTTGCTTTGTGGCACTTTATGTGTGGACGTCTGCTTACGAGAACAGGTTGTATACGATTGTTCCGTCTCTTGCAGGTCTTAGTAGTTGAAAGTACTTTGGCTTTGCAGGTGACACTGAAGCGTTGACCGTGGCCCGCGAGAGACGAGTGCCCCTGCCTTGTCATCTTCCCGAAAATGGATCAAACGGGATGTTCGACTCCAAAGCGGAAACTGGATGAAACGGACTTTGCGACTCCACCGCGGGAAACGGATGCAGCTGAATTTTTGACTCCAACGCGGAAGCAAGCGCGTGCTAGTCTTCAGGGTTCGGCGTTGCGGGGGAAAAACGACGACGGTGCTGAGAAACACTCGAGACAGCAGGAGATTTTGCAAGAACTTCATTCTCAGCATACTGAATCGCCTGGAACGCCTGGCAATAGGTAAGTCGCGCCCCTTCCACTTGTGAACGATAAGTCTGTATGGTGAATTTCCCGGGTGTAGGAAAAAATGCCTCCGAATATACGTCGCCTGTGGCATTGCTCTCTAGGTAAAAGTACTCAAGTGAAAAATTGACCGAAGAACGAACAAATCCTGTGTTAATTAACTTCAGATAATCCTGCACTATTTATTCGACACTTCGGGAATTTTTAGGGCTCACGGTGTTCAAAAAGAAGGAAGTTCTTTCTTTTTGAACACCGTATGTTCAGTTGGTATCATACCATAGTGTCGCTTATAGTGGGCTGGTGCCTGACTTGCGTGAGCCTACTCGCCAGTTAATTCGTCCGTCTGCGCGTGGCATAGCCGAGCTAGGCCGCCAGGGTGTCCTGGAAAAGTCGGGAAATTTGGACCCTTCTGGAAAAGTCGTGGAAAAGTCGGGGAATTTCTGAAAAATGTGGCCAGGTCATGGAAACTGATAGCAGTTCTGTGCGACTGTCACGAGAAGAAGCATTACCATTGATGAACGCTTTAAATATTGCTCTTTCAACTGCAACTACAGTGAGCTGCTAGAAGGTCTGAACAAAAAAAAAAAAAGACTGCGTAACTGTTGTCTTTTAGTGTAAACATGGAAAGGATTCACCGAACCATGGAACAAAAGGTTTAGTGACGTTTCCGCAACAGATATGGGAAGGAGCTTGGTTCAAAATAAAAGCCATAACGAAGGCACCGTGTACTTAAGTATGCCTAAATACGTACGTAAGCCACGAGAGTACATTGTCGAAAGCGTTCCAATACTCCTGTTCAGCGTATGTATAGTTGTCCGTATCTGGATTCCAGCTTCAGGCATGATGCAAGCTTCTTTTAATTGCGGAGCATATTGTAGTGGCACTTACTCGCAAATCCGGCAGCGGCGGTGGTGTCTACACCCCTACTGCACATGTCAGGCTCTTATGTCTTCATTTTACACGGATGCCCCGAGATGGCATCACTTCTAAGTTGCCTAGCAGCTTTGACTGCGATGTCAGACTATCGCAGGGTCCTTCATAGTTTCATCTGTGGTTTTTGTTAACTGGTGTGTTTGCTTCGTGGTTTTTCCGAACATCAAACAGCTGACTTGCTTACTGCATGGCCCAGGGGTTTCATTTTGGCCTGATTTAAATATTTTTGCACATTGACAGCATGTGCTCAGAACATTCTGAGCACATCTGGTAAATAATTTTAGTTATTTTATATGGAGTGCCATATTTGTTTTTTACCACTCAAGGGTTTGTTTCCAGTGCAAAGAGTTTTCCAAGCAGATGTGGCAGTCATGGAATTTGCTTTTAATCATCGTAGAAAACCTGGAAAAGTCGGGGAATTTAGGAATATCAAATTGGGAGATACCCTGGCCACTGTTAATTTTTTTTCCAGATGGGAAATTTTAGTTTCCAGTCAAGTATTTTTGCAAATTTGCTCAATAACCTGACCCATAAGTGCCTCAGTACAGTTCCCTAGAAATGGTCCTGCTCATTCCTAAGCGCAATTGCGGATATTGATGCTTGGAATTATTTTTCTTTATATCGTATACCTCTTAGAAAGTAGGCAAAGGATCAGAGACTACATCTGCACTAGATAATTTCAACAGCAAAAGCAATGACAGGACAACCGAATAAGAAAAAAAAGGCTGGTGCATGTGGTGAAGTAAGTTTTACAGCAACAGGCCACAGTGATATGAAGGCTCTCAAGAAGTGCAATTGCAGGTAGTGTTCTGCTGAAATGAGGTCCACACGACTTTCCTTTTCACAACTTAAGAAATGATGCTATATGCCACTAACTTTGGCCATTTCATCCCAAAATACCTGTTTATGTTGTCGTGAGATGGTGCTTTCATGAGACAGTGGGACATCGTTTTCCAATTTTTTTGAAAAACTCTGTTCAGCGGACATTTGTAGTTTATGTCAATATACCACAGCCGGTTTTTACATCAGTGTAAAAAAATGTGATCGAACCTAGAAAGAGTTAATGTGTAATTGTTCAACAATTCTTCTTCAGCCCTTGGCTTCAGTGAGTGAATTAATTTCCTAAGCAAAGCACCATCCGATTCAAGGCCTATCTTTCTGAGTGGTTTGCACAATGATGCTGAGGAAGCAACCAACCAACCTTTAGAAAATCTTCACTTTACATTATTGGCTTTGGCTTCTTGCGAATGAAATGCATGAGTGGCCCTCCATACAGTTGGGCGACTGTGGCCCAGGATGCTTTTCACCCCAACTTTCAGTTCTAAGCCTCCGCATGATTGTTTGTTCTGTGTCCATCAAGAGTGGCCGAGTAGATGTTTCACTTAGTGAGAGGTGTGCACCACATACTGCTCTCTCAGCTTAATTACTCGCCAGTACATACCCAAAATGTATGTACTGTCAAAATGGTCTCGTACTTCTCTTCCAGCTTCTGGCATTAAACCTTTCAATGCGGTCATTCTATCTTGTACACCAAGGGGCAGAGAAGAGAAGACGTCGAGCATTGCCTTGAAAGTTCTTAACTTCTGATCTTGCCTGTAGAGTGATTAACCCGAGCTCTTGAATTTTTCGCCAGGTGCTTCGGCATAAATGTAAAAAGCACATGCTTATGGTGATGTCTTTTTCAAAGACTGCTTTTACAGCATTCAATGTGGGAAATATACGATCTGGCCTAGCAGTACAAGAACAAAGTATAGCTGCCGAAATCTCTTGGAAGCGCACTCGAAGTTTCCGTCCATAGAACAGGTGCTGCTCTCGGCTAAGAACTTCAATTACTTTGTGCTGGCAAATGGAATGTAGTCCATTTTCAGTCTTTTGGCCAGTATTCGTTTCACAGGAAGCGCTCTGGACAGTCGCCTGCAATCATAGTCCAAGGTTCTGGAATATCAAGGTCCCTGAGGTGGACAGCATTCGGTGCGAACATTTTGCTCTGCTGCTGGTGAATGCAGTATTTGTGTGCTCGCTGCTTATGTGGCATTTTTCTTCATTTATAAAGTTTATGAGGACATCTGGGACGATGGTGGCTGGTTTTCGCTCTCGAGACAAGGGCAGTCTCTATTATTTTCCCGCTTCATTTTTGGGACAATAATTCGCAGCATTACAGTGGTTGCGGCGAACACTTATGGCACGTTTACACTAGAGAGAGAAACACTGACATCACCCCGACGAAAACACGAGGCAGATGCAAACCCCATCGGCTGATGAGTTGCTCGCCAACGAAGTCGGCAGACCCCATGGTCACACTAGGCCAATGACGACGGCGCACTGCCTCAAAAGACAGCGTTTCCTCGTAGTGTGACACTGAGGAGAAGCCGAAAGCACCAGGCAAAACGCATCAGCAGACCTGTCGTCGGCGTGTCTTCGGGAGATCGGCGGCTGAGCGAAAATTTGCCCGATCTCTTTGCTTCAAACGACCACGAAGCGGGCACTCTTGAGGGAGTTAACAATGTCCATCTCCGAGGCTTTAGCGACGTCTGAATAGGCAGCTCGAGTATCCAATAGAAGTGTTTTCTTCGCTTTCCCTACTGTGTGCACCACCTTCAGCCTTCGTTACCATAGATTATGGTGGGGGCTGCATTTCGTTGCCAGAGGGGGACAATGGCAGAGCAGGGAGCGTGCCTGAAAATAGCTGCAGGTGTGCAAGTTTAGTTGGTGTCGCTGTGTGTGTTTCCAATGTGACTACAGAATTGGCCTACGAAATACTGTGAGCACGACAAGGCGCGGGTGGGGTCTTTCGAGAGACCA